CGTCGTGCTTACTTGACATAGGATCGATTAAAAGTCCTCGCTGTATTATTAGCACATTTTTTTCTTTTATAAAGAGACGTGGCGTCGAAGTTTTTGCCTGACCTGCCAAACGTAACTGCGACAAGCGTATCAAGTTTTACTTACTCTTATCTTGTATAACGGGCGGGATCCCAATATTTTCGCAGCCTTTAGCTATAAATGGATCAATATACGGGATGTCATAGCTCGCTGGAAAAAAATCGTACGAATACTCGAATAAGCGCCTGATTTCGGCCAAAATGTTGGTGTGGGAGGGGGGTGTGTTGCGGGGCTTTTTTGAAGGTGGTTATTGAGTTCTTCATTCAACGAATCATTACTTTATTTTGACCTTATTTTTAGATTACAGAAATTGTATACTAGAGGTCATAAGAACAAAGGAAGCTAAAATCAGTGACATCAAAGCAAAGAGGAAGGACGCAAAGCTAAGTGAAGTTAGTACTGTCTGTTTCTTCTCCTGCAAGGCAACTATTCTTAAACTTGGAGGCATTCTTACTCTTCGACAAGACTTATGCCTTGATGAGAAACACTGTGTTTAAATTCCGTTGGTAGCTGACTACTTCGAGAGGACTTCTAGATAAGGTTCACCCAGAGTTAGTCAGTCACTGATTGAACTGGACCGTTCGCTCGCAGTGGTGTACTGTAGGTCTAGCAAAAAACGGCGTGTGCATTTGGTATAAAGTTTTCGAGTATAACAGAATTCATTCTTGTGATCACTGAGATTTACATACCGAATACAGATGGCTTTGCTCTCTTGCTCACCGTGTTTAAGGCAGCCATGTGCTTTGTTTTAGTCCGCTCACCTATTTTACGCATACTCATATCTTGCGTATGCGCTGTATGCGCGAGAGGACGATTTGCGCCAGAGAAAAACCAAGCCCACTCTTTTGCTCGCCCTTTCCCATGGAAACGCCCGACCAATGAAAATGGCACGGTGCTTTATCCTGATGGATCAAGTCATAAAATATTTTTTAAAAGTGAATTTAGATACAGGGCTGACTATCACTGGAATACAGTAGCATTATAAGAAATGACAGGTATATATTCATAGCTGTATAATCAGTTGCTCTTAAATTTGTAAGACATATTGAAAGCAATGGCAATGAGAAGCGTAGTATACTTTCAGCGCACAAAGAGATCAAACCATGCGTCAAGTGGTCGCTTACAAAAGGGTCCGGTAAAGAGAGGTAGTCGTTTATATGAGTCCAGCTATAGTAATTTGACTGGGAAGGTTTGGGGTTTTGGATAGTTGGTCACTTATGGAAGCTTGTCGCTTACGAGAGGTAGTCGCAACTGATAAAGGTCCGACTTTATCAAGCATAAGCCTGGTAAACCAATATATGTTTTGCTTAACATCAGGCAACGCAATTTAGATGAAATGCAATGCTGCATGGGAAAATGAATTAAATTTGATCTTGAATCCTAGCTAAACGAAGTTCATGTTAAGGTGTTACTAACAGCGTAACCCAGTAACGAGTAACGAGTAACGGACTAACGAGAAAACGAGTAACTGGATAAAATTCAAGAGGTTCAAAAAATAAATAAATAAATCCTAATGAAAGAAGAAACTAAAAATGGTTGTTACATCCTAATGATGATCTTTACCAATCTCGGAAAATATGTGTATTCCAAAAAGTGCTTAAAACAACGACGTCAACCCCCACCCCTCCCTTCAGCAAAGTCGAAGGTATTTTCGCGCCGAAAAAGTCACCTGGCTACGGCTGTTATAGGGGGCCGACCTGTACCCATTCCAAGCAAGGTTTGTGATTGGCTGGGAAAACAATGGGGACGGTGACATAACAATACCTCTATCCCTGAAAACAATAGGTAGTGCAGGTTACAGGGACCAATGAAATAAGAGGTTTGGATGGGTGTGGGTCAAATGGTTATTTTCTCACAGCCACGAGTACACCAAGGAGCAATCATGCATGGAGGAAGGTGAGGTACAGATTTTCTTTCTGATTACCACAATTATTTCCTTTCTTAGAAGAATAAGGGTCTGTCAGGTAAATCAAACTCGTTGGACCCTTATTACGGTTACCAACTAACCAATTAAAAGTACTCGATTGCCAAGGTTTAGAAACAGTTTGTTCGTTTATTACTCCCGGGGTACTGGCTCGGGGTTATTACCTTTCCTGCTCAACTTTCAATGTCTAGCTAATGTCTTTTCACTTTTCTCGAAAATACGGGATTCGCCTTAATACTACGTTCCAAAATTTAATTATAGTGAACTTTTCTACCGGTTTAAAAGGAATTATAAATCATGTTTAAAAATAACCTCCCGATGTAAAGACTATACATGAAATTTGAATATTGACGGCAAAAAAGAGTGCAGGGCGAGACTAGTTTTTAGATCGATTTTCAATTAAAGTAAAGCAAAGAAACATTCAAATGGATTGGTTTGCTCGAAGTTGAATGCAGAATAACCGAAACATTGTTACTGCCAGGGCATGAAATTATTCATTATCATTATCATTATTCATTATCATTATCATTATCATTATCATTATCATTATCATTATTCATTATCATTATATATCATTATCATTATTCATTATTTATTATCATTATCATTATCATTATCATTATCATTATCATCATTATTATTATCATTATCATTATCATCATCATCATTATTATTATTATTATTATTATTATTATTGTTATTATCATTAGGTTATTTGCCCTACAATCTCACTTAATCTCCCACAGGTAACAAACGAGGGCAAAAGAGGGGAAATAATTTAGAGGCCGTTGCTTTTGCTNTTTCACTTTTCTCGAAAATACGGGATTCGCCTTAATACTACGTTCCAAAATTTAATTATAGTGAACTTTTCTACCGGTTTAAAAGGAATTATAAATCATGTTTAAAAATAACCTCCCGATGTAAAGACTATGAAATCTGAATATTGACGGCAAAATAGAGTGCAGAGCGAGACTAGTTTTTAGATCGATTTCAATTAAAGTAAAGCAAAGAAACATTCAAATGGATTGGTTTGCTCGAAGTTGAATGCAGAATAACCGAAACATCGTTACTGCCAGGGCATGAAATTATTCATTATCATTATCATCATCATCATATCATCATCATCATCATCATCATCATCATCATCATCATCATCATCATCATCATTATTATCATTATTATTATTGTTATTATCATTAGGTTATTTGCCCTACAATCTCACTTAATCTCCCACAGGTAACAAACGAGGGCAAAAGAGGGGAAATAATGTAGAGGCCGTTGCTTTTGCTGAGAATCAAGTATTGGAGTGACATCACCTATTCTTTTGTTAATTAAACGGGCCTAACTTCATATCATTCCTTTCGAGTTGGCCCGTTGAACCCGAAATAATGCGAAATAGCTTTGAAATACGCGCTTAAGCTGCTAATTTTCCTCAAATGTATATTTGAATTCATGATAAATACAGCTCCACCGGCTTCAAACAGCGTCTATGGCAGAGAAAAATTGTTTTGATATGACAAAATTGATTTTCAAGTCATGTGTGGTGCAGATAAACCGGGTTCAACTCTCGGCTGTGCCGTTTTCTATTTCTTTGTACCGTTTTTTTCTTTGTTTGGTCTCTTTTTTAAACACTATTTTTTCTTTTGGCCTTTTTTTCATTTTTCTTACTGCTGACCCTGCTGGTCATGCACTTAGATCAATATATATTTTAAGCTTAAGTCCGGAGTTTTATTTTGGAAAAGGAATTTTAAAAGCTCTTGATCTGCATACTGGCCAAGCTTACGACCAGAAAAAAACCATAAGCTATCAAGACATGTCCCTTCTCTCAAACAGCTGAATTTTTTTCAATGTTAGTTTACATCATGACAAACAACACACAGTACACCACAAACTGTACTAATTTACACCTAACACCCACAAGTGACCCACTGGCGAAAGTTAAACCAGTGCCTTCGTACATCGTCATCATCAATCAGTATTATTACCCTAAACTCCACTGGGTCAGTTTTCCCCAAAAACTAATTAAACGAAACCTTTTATTGGTTTTCGGGATTTAATTACAGAATTACAGGTGTATGGCCAATACAGTATTAAAATGCGGTAAAGCAACAAGATTCAATGCTCACAGTCTCTCACAAATACCTGTCATTTAGCGTCCTCTTTCAACGCTACAGCTAAGCAAACTTTGAGAGGAAATGATATGGGGTTCCACTAGCTCTGAAGAGCTGAAAATACGCACAATGTTAAGTATAATACATCCTTTGATGAACCTACTATTGCTGTGTATAAACTCCTCAATCTAGCTTTGCACTGGCCCTCAAAAGTGTGACCGGTCGGTGTAATTGCCCGTAAAATTTTCTCGACGATAGAAAGGAATCTTTAAAATTCATTACACCACTGGACATTTCATTCCAAAAAAAGCACTTAATTCTAGTTTTCTATGACAATATAAACCTTAAAATCTCCAAATCCAATAAATCGGAACAGTATTTCCGTGATAAAATCTAAATTTTGATCCGTCTTTTCGATGAACACTTTGCTCGCCATTTTGAAAGTTACTGAGGCGAGACGTGACGTTATAATGGCAGGCGGACTGTACCACAGATTTCCTTGGAGACACCTCCCCCCCACCCCCACCCCCCAGTTGTGGAAGGGGAGGTTTGGCTACTTTAGAGCAAATACAAATAGAAAGTTACCAAAACGTAGAACTCGATATAGAATAATCAGCAATAACTACTTAGAAAAAAAATATTACGAGTTACATCATGCTATACCTTCCCGCTCACAATAACATTGGGAAAGAAACCTAATTCACTAGATTTGAATAAATGAGGACATAGCATAAAGCAAGGTCTCAGTAAAACATAAAAACCATCATTGAAAATACAACTTGAAAAGCAGTTCCGATCATCCCCATGGTAACAATAGCCTTTGCACCGTTGACCACTTCTTTATTGGCATCGAACTTCTGCTGCACCAATTTAGGATAGTAATCATTCCAGAAAGACATTCTGCGAGGATTAAATGACGCCTTCAACTCGGGACTTGTGTCCACTTTAAGGTAAGCTCTGTGAGTCGTGTTGTATTTCTCCCACGCGACACCGCTGACTGAAGGATCGCCGGACCGGGCAAAGTTTGCGTACATGGTCATGATAAACAAACTGACATTTCTGTCACCGGGACTATATAATGGAAAAAACATTGGAAAAAAAGGAACTCCGAAATCAAAGGGAACATTTTCAGCATGAACAACGCCCATCCACTCTGCATCCGCAAAACTAAACTTTGCCCGTTGAGCAAATTCATACATGTAAACAGGAGCGACCTGACTGTGAACATCAGCAACCTCGTGACTGGGAGCAAAAAATACGCAATCTCCAAGAAGATCAACAAGTTGGCTTCTTAATGCGTATTTATTACATTTGTCAGGCCAAGGGGTGTACATGAACTCCAACGCATCTGCGATGAGATGAGCATTCTTGTTTCTGAAAAACAAAAGTGACGGATAAAAACAATTATTGCAAAGGCCATAGCCGTGCCCAGTTTAAAGCAACAACAACAACACCAAAAGCTTTATTTGCATGACCATAAAGGAATTACAGTATTGCAAAAGCTATTAGTCTAAATTTGAGTACTAATTTAACTAATTAGTACGTGCAAAACATTACAAAACGCAAAGCAATCCGAGGTACTTGCCTCACTCGTTTTATTTTAAAGGGAAAAGCAAAACACTGCTTGCAATTAAAGAACAAGCAAACAAATAAATAAATGTGAATTGTTGGTGGCCTGTGGAGACAAGCGTCTCTACAGTACCTTGCGAGCAGAAGCTACACGTAGCTGAACCTCCGTTTAACTGAGGAGGAAAAAAGAAGGTTGGATCTGAATCACATTAAGCCTTTGAGGTTGCCGCAGCCCAAACTTCTGGGCTAGTCACTGATTTTGCTTTCCCTCCTCAATTTTTTTTTTTTCAAGAGCGAGTATCCGTTTACTATAGGTAATCACATGATTTCGAGTGCAATTTGGAATAAATATGCACTTTGTGATCTTTGAAAGTACTTATTTACTCCAAATTGCACGAGAAAAATTATGTGATTACTTGTATATTATTATTGATTGAACTGATGGTCATTAACGAGCCCGCTGTAGCAAGCGCCCAAGGGTCCGTTTCTCGAAAGACCCGGAAACTTTTCGGGCCCGAAGGCAAATTTTAAAATCAAAACCTGTTGAATAGTATCACAGTTCCTAGCCCACGCTCCAGTCAATTTTTTCTTCGTTAACTAATAGGTTCATTGTATTATTTTCAAAATTATTGAAACTTTGATCTTGAATGCAAACACAACAAACACAAAACAGCTTTCCGAGCCCGAAAAGTTATGGAGACTTTCGAGAAATAGGCCCCAGGTCCGAAACCATATCTTAGCAACATCCTGCGCATGCTCAACAAAGATCTTATTCGATTCATGCAGCAGAGTTTCCCTGGAAACGAGCAAGCCAAAAGCGAGCGACCAAAGAAAAGGCTCTGCTGCATGGCAGGGTGCTGTACCCCAACATCTCCACTGTCTTTCGGCTGTTGTTAACTCTTCCATTAAGATGTAGTTATTACAGTCAAGCCAGGTCAAGCGTACCCCCCATGATCCTGTTGGTAGTTGTAGTTTTCAAATTCGTCTATGCATTCTTGCATGCGAAATGAGCCGTGAATTCACACGCGATTCAGTTACGAAATTTCTACCAGCTCAGTTTCCCTGAATTTGATGTAAATTTCTTCCAGGAAATTTCATCCATTCAAAGATTTTCAATCTGACGAAATACAGAGAAGTTCTCGTAAAATATTCACTGCTCATTACTCGTACAGGAATGCCGACTTGAATTTGACACTAGTTTCGGAAACGACTAACGCATTCATTTTTCAAAAAATCAATTCATTAATAGAATCTTGTGGGGTACGCTTGACCGGCCTTGACTGTAATCGCTTTGCAGAGGTTAAAGACCTGGGGCCATTTTCACGAAAGTTCCGGTTAATTTACGAGCCCGAAAACAAATATTCAGATCACCAAAGAAAAACAAGGCTCCATTTTGTTTTGTTAACTGTTGGTTTTACAATATTATCAGCAAAACTATCGCAACCTCCGAATCCTCTATCTTAAATTTAAGGTAAACAACGACTACTTTCCGGGACCATTAAATGACGGGACTTTCTAAAAACGGGCCTCTGGTACCGTGTGTCTATGGGCTCCAAAAAAGGCCCAATTGTCTTGCAGCAGTTTCATGTACAATCAAAGTCCCTGTGGAGCCACGCAAAGTTCCACAGCACTGGGATCAGTACAGTGGGATCAGTGCTAATGTGCACAAAATCATCCCGATTTGCCACTTTAGTGATATGGAGAAACAAACTGTTTTTATAAAAATCCGCATACAAGAACCTAGAACACCAAACCTAATACTTAAATCACCCTCCCACCAACACCACAACCCTACAAAAAAAGCGTTTTCATATCAAAGATAAAGAGTAGATCAGAATGGGCTTTGGGTCTATAAAAGGACATTTTATTGTCGAATAAAGGATGAGTAACACCCCAAATATGTAGGTCACGGTCATTGTCTCAGTCATAATTTTTTTGCTGGCTACGATCCTGTAAGCTCGCGTTAAACGTGAGTGGAATCGTAATAACAGGCTGCAGTTATGTATTAACACTTCATTTAGAAATGGAAAAGAAAGACGCTTTTGCTTTCCATTTATGAGCAAACGAATAAGTTCCAAAAGTGTCACTACATCTATTAAAGCTACTGAGCAAACATTCGTAAAATCTTAACGGAACTTACCTACTGTCTTGAGCTTGAGCAAACTTGGTTAGAAATGATTTGAACAAAGTCGGACTGACTCCATTGTCCACGTTCTCCATCAGCCCAAACGAATTGTTGACCATGTTTCCGAGAAAACTCGCACCCTCGTGACTTGTGAAGGCGATGATAAGTGGCACTTGCTTGAATTCTCCTTTTTTCCTCAAAACTTGGGGTGTATCATGAAGAAAGTTTTTATCTACGACTGGTGCCCAGTTGATATAATTAATGAAACTAAATTTGATTGACTCGGCGGCTTTTTGCATGTCTGACGCTGTTTTGCTGCGCATACAAGAAACCATTGCAGAATGGTCACTGGATCCACAATTCAGTTTTTGTGCAAGCTCTTTTGTAAAACGGAGACCAAAAGACGTTGGCTGAATCGCAAAGGGACTTAAATCTACACCGCTCTCTGTAATGGCTTGATGAAAGAGATCACGTGATAGAGGCGAAAGAAGATGGAGCCCCACGCTAGTTCCTCCAGCACTCTCTCCAAATATGGTCACTTTGCTGGGATTCCCGCCAAAATTTTCGATGTTTTCTTTGACCCACTTCAGTGCTTCCACTTGATCCAACATCCCATAGTTACCAGGCGCCGCTGAGTCACCGGTCGTCAAGAAACCAAAGGGACCTAGACGATACTGGACTATGACTACCACCACTCCCTGGAGAGCCAAAAAATCGCTAGGAGAAGTGATCGCTGTTCCTCCGGCGTAACCTCCACCGTGAATGTAAACCATCACTGGCAAACTGAGGCTGGTGTTCGGGCTGAAGATGTTAAGATACAAGCAATCCTCGCTGTAGGTGAAATTTGGAGTTACTGACTTGATAAGGATTTCAAGACTAGGGTCTTTTAACTGTAAACAGATGGCCTTGTGTGTTTTAGCCGAATAAACGTTTGGTTTCCACGCTTTTGGCGGTTTGGGGGCTTTAAACCTTAGCTCTTTAGTTGGTGGAGCGGCAAAAGGAACGCCAAGAAACTTGCTGACGGACTTGAAAGGACCAGAGGCAGTCGGATACGGAGTCAAGAAACCATCGATATCTCCATACTTAGTTGACACTGTTTCTGCTCGAACATGAAGCCAACATGCACAAAAGAGAAATATCTTTGCTAGTTGCATCTTCGAACAGTTCTTCTTGTGGAGCTGTTCGTTTTACCAAGATCAAAACGCAGCAGGGCTTTACTTTTCGACACTAACCAAATGAATGCCAAATGAGCAATTTTAAATTACTTTTCATCTCGCAGAAGCTGCTGACGTCATTCGAATAACATACACTATTTTAAGGCCCCTTAATGGCTTTTGGTTGACCATGGAATTTGACTAAAGAAATACATTTAGTAAAATGTTACAAGATAATTTACTACTGAAACTGTAAAAAAAAAATTAGAAACTAAAGTAATGTAAGCATCTTATGTTAACCGTGAACTATCGACAGTGTACCTTGGAAAACCTCTTTACTCACATCTTTACTTTAACTGCGTGATCATGAACGTGCGTCGGATTCGATGACTGCGCAATTTTACAGCACAATAGAAAAACTGACTTATGAATACAAAATATCACGACAGATCATGCAATAATTGCAAAATCACTGAACCGCCCTTAGCCACGTCGTCGCAATCATTTTTACGCTAGCAGTTTTTTTTTCCAGTAGTCGTGCTTCTGAAGTATTCTGCATGCAATTGACGGCAATAAAGCTGTTGTACTAATTACGTTGTATTTATCTGCTACATTTGATACTGTGTCTCATGAAATACTTCTGGATAGGCTGTCTCAACGTTATAGTATTACAGGGTCGTCTGTACAAGAATGGTTCGCATCCTACCTTTCATCTCGTGCACAATTTGCTCAAATTGAATGTTTAAGATCTTCTTTACGTGAACTCAATTGTGGTGTACCGCAGGGGTCTGTTATGGGCCTCTGTTATATGTTTTGTACACCGTTCACCTGTGGCTGATATCATAAAGAGACACAATCCTACGTACCATCCCTAGGCTGATGACACTCAGCTCTATGTGTCATTTAAATTAGGTAGTGGTGATCTTGTCTCCTCAGCATGGGGTTGAAATATGTGTACAGGAAGTCAACAATTGGATGATTCTTAATGGTCTTAAGCTAAATGAGGAAAAAGCCGAGCTGCTTTTACTCAGTTCACGGTATCGGCCCAGTGCTGATATGGAAGACCACATTTAAAAGATATGCAAGACATGTCATTTCCGTTTAACTAATATTAGTAAGATAAAAACATACCGTAAAATTCCGAAAATAAGCCCCGGGGCTTATATTTTTCAAAGGCCCTTTTTGAGGGGCTTATTTTTGGAAGGGCTTATATCGGAGGGGCTTACCTACGGAGGGAAATTTGCGTTTCAAAATCGATTGGGCTAGCCGTATAGTTAGAAGTAAATTTACCGTTTTTGCTTTGTTTTACTTTGTATTTGAGGGCAATTTTCCATGTACAAGCCCCCCGGGGGGAGGGGGGGGGCCTTATATTTGGAGGGGCGATTTAACGGACGGTTTTTTGCGTTACCGAATTGAGGGGCTTATATTTGGAGGGGCTTATACATGGAGGGGCTTATTTTCGGAATTTTACGGTATTTGGATCGTCAATCTACTGAAGCAATTATTCATGCTTTTGAGACTATCCAACTTCAATTAACTGTAATGCGATTCTATATGGACTACCTAAAGTTCTCTTAAACCGCCTACAGCTAGTTCAGAATAGAGCAGCGCGCATCGTAACTTTCACAAAGCAGCATGAATATATAACACCCAGCTTAACAGACTTACATTGGTTGTCTGTTGAATACCGTAGTTATATAATGTTGTTGTTAGTATATAAGGCTATCAATGGACTTTCACCAAGTTACATATCCAATTTGCTCAGTTTTTGTAGCAGCTCCTACTTCTTGCGCTCTTGCTCGAATAAGTTACTTCAAGTCCCGAGATCTAAGCTAAAGTCTTATGGTGATCGAAGATTTTCTATTGCAGGACCTAAATTATGGAACAGCATACCCGCATCTTTAAGAAATGCCGATTCCTTGAATTCTTTCAAAAAACACTTAAAGACATTTATTACACCAAGTTTTTCTTAATTTATAAATAGATTTTTATTTAATTTTCATACTTATATATGTAGTTGTAAGAGTTTTTTTTTAATTTAGAGTTTTAATACATTTTTTTTGTGATATTGTAAAGCGCGTAGAACAGTTAATGATATAGACGCTATATAAATAAAGTTTATTATTTATTATCACAATTAAAAGGCTCAACTTTTGGTCAATAGTTAATTCAAACGTCGAACTGTTTGCCCATTTTGGTCCTGACGTCATACGGAAATTAAGAATTTGTTCATGCTTAGCGTGCGTATATCGAGCTATGGATGCACGCGGGAAGTTTGGAGAGCGCGAAAGATGCGTAAGAGTTGCACGAGGCGATAGCCGAGTGCAACTCTAGCTTCTCTAGTGCTCTCCAAACTTCCCAAGTGCATTCATAACTCGATATACGCACAGCTAAAAGCATGTGCAAATTCTTTTATAACATAACTGACAAAAATGCTTGCTTTTTGATTAACTGCAAAATTCTCGTAACGCGCTACACAATAACAAACGGTTCTATTGGCTGATTACGAACACGCCACAATCGTCTAGTTTGAATGAAAATGTTCTTTCTGTAAAACTGAGAAAGAAAATTTGTTTCTTTATTCGTTAACGATTAATGGAAACTAAGCAGAAACAAAGGTAAAAGAGTCTCAAAGTTCACCTAAAGTTAAGATACTAACATGTTCGTAAGAAGTCGTAGTAAGTCGTGGAGTATGGTTTGGATTTGCTGAAAAGATGGTTACGTTTTGCTCGGCGAAATCCAGAAAACATGTTTTTAGCGAAGACGACTGTCATCCTTCTTTAAACTTATATTCATTTACGAGCATTGGCTGGTCATTACGGCTTCTTGAGAAGACCTGGCAGCAGTTGTTTTTGTGAGTAATAAATTTATGTCTTCTTGCGTAATTTGTGTTGTTATTGCGAGAGAAATTTTCCTGCTTCAGTCGGATTGTTCGGAGATAACAAAAGTGCGTAACAAATTTAAAAACAACAATAAAAACGGAAATTTTACCCTTAAATGTTGTTGATGACCAGTTGGTGTCTGTTCTGTTCCCAGTGAATGTCTTTTGGCCAAAATTTGCTGCAGCTGGTCTTCCGACAAATTTGCGAAACGCGCAACTTGCGAGTTTTTTTTAATTCGGCTTTATTTTTGCTGCTTGTTGGATCAGGACCTAAAAGGTCAATGCCGATACAAAAATTGGGCAGTTTTTCGCTGGTTTCGTCCATATTTTAAAGAGAAGGAAAACTGCACTGCACTGCATCTTAAAAGACGACAACTGTACTTTGCAGCCAGATAAAAAAAATGCTCACGTCATCTTATTTACGCACGGGCGTGCGTAAATAAAGATTTTGTTCATAGCGGCTCAATAGGACTTATATAGGGCAAGCACGCGCGCTATGTTATAATCACTTATTGCCAACGAGCGCACAGGTAACCCAGGCTCTGTGATAAGATATGGATATGAACTGAAGCACACACTACCAAACTCCACGGTATGGCCACTACCTTACGAATGCGCACAACCATATCACCCCCGAACTGTGGCAGCCATGGACAGCTGTTTTGTCTTTGTTAGGACTCATCACCATGGCATAGCCAGCACGGTCTAACTTACGATCACAGACCCTGCCCTTACTGCCAAGGCGAGTGCAAAAGCACTCCTTTAAACGCCAGCTCCACCTTATAATAGTACCACAGTACGGTTCCAGTAAAATTACAGTAATTTTCTAGGGTAAAAAACGATCCTAAAATTTGTAGGAAATACTAATAAAAGTCAATGAAACTTTCTCTGCAATGAATTGTTGTTGTATTTAATGCTCAAACGATTTTGTATAGGTAATAGCATGATTTGTAGTGATATTTGGTATAAATAGCACGAGCGATATTTCGATATCACGAGCCGTTAGGCGAGTGAAATTTGAGACAGTTTTGAAATATCACGAGTGGTATTTATGCAAAATATTACGTACAAATCATGCTGTTACCTACACAAAATCGTTTGAGCATCATCATCATCACTACCATCACAAGTGTATCGAACTAAGTACATCTACGGCCCAAATATTAGGAGATGCATATTCATTCTTTATAACAATGTTGAATTTGGCGTTATAAATGCGGGTTTTATGGCTATATATGGTTAGTTATGGTTATATAAGTAGTTAGTCTATATATAGTTTCTATAAATGGCTGGATTTACTTTACTGGAGGTGACACAAGAAGGAATGTATAAACTGTTGTGGAGGGAGAGAGCGGTTCAAGACTTTAGAGCAAATACAAATAAAAAAACTGCCAAAACTTGGACCTTAAATACGAATAATCAGTAAAAAATAAAAACTTAATAGCGGAGCACCATGGATAAGAAAATTTGGTTATCTATAAATCTAAGAAGTTAAGTCCGTTTTGGTTCTGAGAAAATCGGCCCGTGCGTACGTCCACTCCTTTATGTAAGCCGGTGTGAAATTTTGCATTTCAAGTACCCGCCCGTTTCCAAGGTAAATGTCATAGCCACCCGGACTTTTAGAGATAAAAACAACCTGACAACAAAGCCGATTCTTTCTTTCACGTGGCTTAATTTTAATGTCTACTTTGACGTGGATAACAGAGAAAGAGGTAGGGCGAGAGATTAAAAAAAGAGGAGACCAATTTCGTTTATGGCGGCGGTGAGAAAACGAGAAAAGCTAGAGGCCACCATGAGTGGCAGCGACAAAAAAGTGAACTGGAACACATACAACATTTCCTCCATAAAACGTGTAACTAGGAAGTTTCTGGAAAAATCCCGTTGTGGTCGTGCAAAACAACGGCAAAGAAATGCATGAGAAAGTGTGTTGCAAGTGCAAAGTTGTTCAGTTTTTTTGCTAATTAGACCTAATGATTTTTTTTGCCAGCTTTCGTTGCCTTCGCCGCTAAGCATTACACGATTTTGTATTTTGCTTGAGTAAACAATAGACATTAACGAGACTTTCGCTTTTAGCTCTGGCTAAATCTATATATTATGGCTACATATAAATAACATCATGCTCTGCTTCTCACTTTGGAGAAGAGACCTGTACAGTCCCCGAAATGATCCCGACCCCCAAATGATCCCCAAATCGACCCCAAAATGATACCGACCACGAGATGATCCCCATTTCTCTTCACGTCGACCTCGAAATGATCCCCAATTAATTTTTGGAATGGAATGGTATTCCGCCACGGAAGTGTTACAAGTCTGTTGCAGCGTTTACGCTCTTGAACCGTATTTAACATTTCACTATAGTTTTTGCCATTTTTAGCGCTTTTGTCATCTAATCACCTTTATGTCTATTTTCGCATCTTCAACCTTATTATAAAATTCACTATACAAAACATGCAGTTTTAACATCATTTTTAGAATTTAACATCCATGAGGTTTTCTTTACAACCCGGGCTATAATGACCAAAGTAATTATAAAATATGGTATGTTTCTTGCAGTTGCAGTTCATGGTGTTACTAAAAATATATTAAACTTTGTGTATTAAATAATATTTTCAATTAATCCACTTCAAAGCGTAATCCTAAATTAATGTCATTAACTGGGGATCATTTCGGGGTCGACGTGAAGAGAAATGGGGATCATTTCGGGGTCGGGATCATTTCTGGGTCAATTTGGAGATCATTTCAGGGTTGGGGATCATTTCGGGGGCTGTACAGACCTTACCTAATCTACTCGTAGTAGATATGAATGAATGAGGACATGGTTTAAACAAAGTCCTAGTAAGTCATAAATACTATCAATACAAATGCAACTTGAAAAACAGCTTCGATCGTTCCCATGGTAACAACAGTCGCTGCGCTGCTGACCTTCTTTTTGTTGGTATCAAACTTCAGCTGCACCAATTTAGGATAGTAGTCATTCCAAAAAGACATTCGGCGAGGATTAAATGACGCCATCATTTTGGGACTTGTGTCCACTCTTAGGTAAGCTCTGTGACTCGAGTTGTATTTCTCCCACGCGACACCGCTGACTGAAGGATCGCCGGATCGGGCGAAGTTTGCGTACATAGTCATAATAAACAAACTGACATTTCTGTCAGCGGAACTATAAAATGGCAAAAAAAATGGAAGGAAAGGAACTCCGAAATCAAAGGGAATGTTTTCAGCATGAACAACACCAATCCAATCAGCACCCATACTTGTTTTTGCCCGATGAGCAAACTCATACATGTAAACAGGAGCGACCTGGCTTTGAACATCAGCGACCTTGTGACTAGGGGCAACGAAAATTTTATCACCAAGAAGATCAACAAGTTGGCTTCGTAATGCGTATTTATTACTGTTGTCAGGCCAAGGGGTGTACATGAACTCCAAGGCATCGGTGATGAGATGAGCGGTCTTGTTTCTGCGAAAAGTGACAGATATCAAACAAGTTGGATATGAGATGATAAATAGCAATTATCGATCTCTGACTCTAAAGCGCTGGTGGTATACAGTCAAAATGCCCTTAAGCGACCCCCCCCCCCCCCCCCCCCCCAAAAAAAAAAAAAAAAAAAATAACAACTAAGTAACACTTCTTGGGGGTGGGTGTAAAAAAAAACAGCACCCACAAAGGTTTTTTTGGGGGGGGGGTGTTGAAAAAAAATTTTTTGTTTGTATTTTTTTATATAGAGAAAAAGATGTTGTGTTCAAAAAAAAATGCTCACGTCATCTTATTTACGCACGGGCGTGCGTAAATAAAGATTTTGTTCATAGCGGCTCAATAGGACTTATATAGGGCAAGCACGCGCGCTATGTTATAATCACTTATTGCCAACGAGCGCACAGGTAACCCAGGCTCTGTGATAAGATATGGATATGAACTGAAGCACACACTACCAAACTCCACGGTATGGCCACTACCTTACGAATGCGCACAACCATATCACCCCCGAACTGTGGCAGCCATGGACAGCTGTTTTGTCTTTGT